ATTTTCAATCTACCCCAGATGTCCCTAATACGGCCCCTAAGGATGCCACTACTGGGTGCCGCTCTCCTAGGCCTATGTGTCCCTATTAGGGTTCACGCTCTGATAATGGAGACTTCCAAGGGAAGGAGCCTTTATTCATCCACATAATGGATGAAATGAGATGAACAGGGCGTCTAGAATCATAGGGTTGTGTAATGTTAATGTTTCCCCTTAATGCGTCTCGTCCTAAGTCTACGATTGACGCGATGGTCGTAAATTACTCTGAAAGTGCAGACGATGTCAGTGAGAGTGTGACAGGCGTTTCCTATAATGGATACTGCGGATGAGTGTAGTTTTTCGGATTGTTCAATTTCCTGTCAAAGTCTGCTATGCTGATCCGTAAGATGGAGAAGATGGTGACAGAACTGATATGCAAGAAGATGATCCATGGCTCATTTCAGGTAGTACCTCAGCAGACTTCGGTGGCAGCAGCGGTGAATCCCTCAGTGGACATGACGGTGCCAGCGGCAGTTCGAAATCGATTCCAACGACAAATCTGTTTTGGTGAGTCTGAGGCTGCTAAGGCACACATAGAGCACGAAGTTTTGTGGTGCTCGAAGAGGGCGAGAGCCGGGTTGCCGTCGAAATCCGCAACTTGACGCACAGATTATATTAGGCGCGAGATCGGAGAAAAGACCGCCGCGTGCGACGCCGAGTTTCGTTTCGATGATGAGCAGCAGCTGCCTATTGATAAGGTAGTGTGATTCGATTTGGCGTCGAAACATTTGTGCGGCGCCGACGCGGCGCGAATTCCGACGCATCAAAGGAGGCTACTAGAAGTGTCTTGACTTTGAGAATGCTTGAGAAAGGTACTTCCTAGAAGAAGCTGCTGGTTGGTTTTGCCAAAAGAAGCAGTTTGAAATTGCTGAGCTTCAAGGGCTCAGCGCAAGAATGCCGAGTTTCGTTATCACAAGAATGCTGAGTTGTGGGCAAAAGTCGTGCCCCAGGCGGGAGTCGAACCCGCACCTCACGCTTTCCGAGCGAGTGCGCTATCCGTTACGCCACGAGGGCCGCTTCATAACAAAACAGCTTCAAAAAGCCGAGTTTTATGTTATCATAGCCAGGACTCGAACCTGAACTTCATGCTGATTTGGGTCTGCCTTAATGGAGTGCAGCTTAGGAGGGGGAGGGGGGGGGGGATTGGTAAATCCCTGTCAACGTGTAAGGATATTTTATCAAGACCTGTACACTGGTGCTGGGCTAATTTGAGGAGACCTCTTTGCAACTATCATAAACTCTACTTCCTGTAGCGGCAATTCTTTCAAACTTTTTTGTATTTTTGACGAAAAAATGATTGCGGACCGGAAAAATTGACGCCCAACCCTATAGGAGGGTGCTTAGGAGCGGATGAATTAATCTGAGCGAAAAGCAGTTTGATAGTGAAAGTCCTAACATTTCATGGCCTCACAGGAGTCCACGAAAGGTTGCAAAAGGCTCCTGCTCCCTCTAGCCGAACTGCAACCCTACTAAACTCGTTTACTGAAGCCTTCCTGCAGTCAGAAACAATAGTTGAGGGTGAAGCGCAATCCCTTAGATGGCTGCACTTATTTCCATCCATTTCCCGTGGCCTCGACATGTTTTCCTTCAGATTAACCACCTTATTTGTCCAATTTTGAGGAAGGTTGAAAACAATTTGATTGTTGAATTTCATTATTGTCCCGTTATGTAGCCTGGATTTACTGCTTTTGGTACCATACTGAAGTTTTCGGAGGTAATTTCCGTTATTCTAGAGTCATACTGGGTCCTGGTGTTGTGGGGCCAGGGCATACCTTTGGGGGGGGGGGCATGTTCAGGGATTTCTCGCATAGGGTTGTTGTGCCCAGTTTGAATTACCCGGAATCTGTACTGATCATTAGTATGGTCCAGAACAGTCTAGAAACTTTTCTTACGGGATATTCCTAAGAGTCCTAGAACCTAAGTTGGGTCTTGAGTTACTGGTGTGGTTTCTTCAGTCCTAGAGAGCACAACCTTGTGCCTCCGTGGAGTGGCTAGCGTTGGGAGGAAAAAGGGTCAAATCAACAAGAGAGGGCACCGAAAGTTACTCTTCAAGAAGTATTTAGGGGTTGAAGCTGCCAAAATAATTTGCTTCTGGGTCAGCTACCATACAGGGCACATTGTGCCTTGGGGATCTGCAGCGAGGAGGTTACAGGTCTATGGTGGCGGTGGTTCTCACGGAATATTTAAATAAAGCTATAAAATTTTTGTAAAAAAATTCCCCGGAAGAAAGATGGAAAAACGGGGAGATTTTGGAGGATGGTAGGCGGGCGCGGATAAGGAAGGGAGTCGCACCAGAGGAAATTTCGAGGGGGTGTATTTTGCAAATTTTTTCTCCAGCGGTCGGGCATGCCCTGCTACCAAGGCTTTCACTCTCTACAGCTTATTTTTGGTTACTCTGATTGGATGCACTGGAGGGCAACAAGGCAATAAAATGTTACAATAAAAATTGGGACATTGCCAAGATTGTGTCAGCAGGCCCATATTTCTCGGTCTGTTGGTTTCACAGGCTTGTAGTTAATGGAAAGTGCTTGTTTGCACGAGTTTTTCATTAAGGTTCTCACCCAGGTGAAAATATTACATCAAAAGGGCGTTATGAGTACACTAAAAAGTCCCCAGAATATTTTTACGAATCGTGCTGACGAATGTCTATGCGGTCACCTCTGATCGTAGTGGCGCGTGAAACATATGTTATGCGGTGAGGACATGTCGACTTGATGAGTGCGTGAGCGTTCTACTCAAATGACGGATCAATTTGCAGGTGTAATCGATTCTCGTGCGAATTGCAAGGCATGATTGATCGGAGGGTTCTGTATGGGATGGGGTTTGCAAGGGTTTTAGACGACTATGAAGGAGTTCAGGCGTGTTCGGCTTGGGAGGAGCATTCTGTACTTTCGCTAGTTCATATGAACTTACAGGTCTAATTTTGGCGATACCTGTAAACTCTAAACCAGCTGCAAAATGATATAGGAGAGGCCTTCGGTTACAAGCATTTACAGGTCTTAACGAGGTAATCTGTATAAGCATCGCTGAGTACCACTTGGTGCCCTCGCCAAGCCAAAATGCGCCGGAGTTCAAAGGGTGAAAGGGCATAGATGAAAAGTCAGACCATGAGAGATCATATCGGTAAAGGAAATTTCGGTATGAATGCGACCCCACCTCCTTACGATATCCATCGAGCAGGAGAGGGGGGAGTGGAGGAGGTGGAAAAAGATCAAATGTTTGATATGGTAAAACTACGGCACTGAATGCTTCGGAGGGAGGAACGGTCTGATACGGCGAAAGTCAGTGGTGGGAAAAACTTTCCCTAAGAAAATACGATCCCTCTCCCCTCATCTTCCATCCACTGCTCTCTGAGGGTTCCTCACCTATGGAAAGCCGTTTTCTAGGCTTCAACAGTTTTCAGTGACTCATCGTGGGCTTCAGTGATGAGTCCAGCACCCTGAGTTTTTAGATAAATCCAGGTAGGGTACCTGGAAACGCGCCAGACTTCCTATTCCAACTCTTACACCTAGTCAAGAGGAAGTTGAGGTCGTATTAACCCATGCAAAAGCTCTCCCGGCTTTTGTTGAATTCAGGGCACATCGGAACACAATGGGGTTCTTATTCGATTGCTGGGGGGGGGGGTTGCTTGGCGCATTATACACCATTCTCCTCCATAGCTCAACAACAGAATTTTTTGATGGTACGTAGTGAGTGAAAAAAGGGTCGTAGCGAAAGTGTGGGTGGCGTAGCTAATCAAAATTATTCGATTCTGGCAACTGGTAAGCCTTGGACTGTCCCTCTAGCGGTCCTAAACCGTATTAAAATAAGCCGTGGGTATTGGCCAGCAGGAATATTTCCTGCCGGTTAATATTTCTTTTTTCCTGACCGCCCACAGTTGTTCTTTTATAACTCTTTACTGGTGAGACTGTTTTGCTATCTCTCTGAGTAATATCATATCGGAGGGGTCATTCAGGTTGCCCCCCGCCGAGGCTGATTGCGTAGAGGTGCAAATTTGTCATTTTAAAAAAGCTCCAGCGTGTGAAGGGAGTTTTCCATGCATGGAGGTATTCGTACTTTACCCATTACTTCAGGCCACAGAGGCGAATCTTGTTGGAGCTTCTACTTCAATAAAATTTGGATTGATTTCCGCTCTTATCCCAAGGCAGCACCCCATTTTCCCCTTCGTCTAAGCTGTTTCCGGTGAAGGTAACCATATTTCGTGTACCTGGCCTGAATGTGTACTTAAGCAGAGTCCGTTAGCATTGCAAGATCGCTCGAAGACGTGCCCATGCGGGCGCTTATTGAGTTTGTCGGGGTGGCATCGGGACGACGGACGCACTAAGGCAGCCGCGAAATTCTTCGCTTCTGAATTGTGAAGCACTCGTCGATTGCACTCCCAGCATGGCTGAACAGAATAGCCCTAACATTTTCTCATCAGAGTGCACCGAGTAAAATCGGCGGAAAAGTACATCGAAGGTGATAATTACGGACATCACTGGGTTTGGGGGAACAGTAGGACTCGAGGATCTCTTGGAATAAGGGAGTCCAATTCAATTTCAAGCCGGCTTCATATTGAATTCGCTCTGCTAGTGCAAGTTCGAGTCGATGAAGTTATGCTTATGGAGTGGGTGGACATATTGATAACTTGCACTGGCTGCAGAGGCTCACATTTTGGTGGTTTGGCCTGGAATTTTGTAAAGGATCTAAGGGGGTTGGGAGGGGGGTGGAATCCGGACGCAGTGACATGAACTGGTAGGTGCTATCAGCGATCAGGACGACGTAATGTTTCTGAAGGCAGATCTTGCGAATGATGGATGGTCTAGCTTTCCAACAATGCTATTTTGAGGTCATCTTTCATCATTGTTGATGAAGAGTTGGCGCTGTTCAGCTTGGGAGGGCTATTTTGCACTCTTCCTCGTTCTTCTGCTCCTTCATGCGAACTAAGAGGTTTGCTAACCTGTAGACCCGTGCAAATCTGCGAAATGGTGCAAGTGAGCCGCGTTAATTACAAGATTTTCATTGTCTTCACGAGGGCAGCCTATGCAGACGCAGACCCATATGTACCATTCAATGCCCCCGACGCGAGCCGAACCAGCATCGGGGAATTGTTGTCTTGATACCTCGGCAACCTGCGGCAGCGTTTGCCTCGGGTTGTTGGCAAGGCGGAAAAATACACCTCCCGTATAAAACACTTCGACCCTGAGGCCTTTTTTCGCCTAGTGCTGAATTATGGCGCAAAAAGCTTGTCAAATCGGTCGAGCAGGGTCCAAGAAGTTCACAGGTTTCAATTGCAATAATGGTCTCAAATAGCCTCGCCCATCAATGACAATTACATGGTTGGACGGATCGTTTCATTGAAAAAGGGAAGTTAGAGGAAAGGAAAAGAAGAGTGTTTTTGTTCCACAATAAAAAATGCAAATTCATGAAATGAATTCACAATTCGCTTTCTTATGATTAGATTTGCAGTTCCCAAGTAGAAATCAAGGTGGGTTACATGCGCATTATTTCGAGTATTTTCCGTCGAATCTTTTCTTTTTCCTCGATTTTTTCCTCCTATTTTTTCCTCGAGGCGGAGATGGTGTAGTGACAAGTGGGGCGCTCACCATTCGCGCGGTCCCGGGGTTCGAATCCCGGGTCGACTCCCGCCCAGGCCAACCAAGCCTTCTACCCTCCGGGGACGGTGAATTGGTACCAGATTCGTCTGGGAGGATAAAACACTGACTTGTACATCGGCTGGCCACCGCAAGTCATTGTATAGGCCACATCGCATTCAATAAGCCACTACGATTCTGAATGGAAGTAGAATGCGTGCCGCATCCGCAAAGGATTGATCAGCGGCGGGCGAAGAACTTTATTCCTTTTTATCCTTTATTTTTTTCCTCGATAAGTTCATTTTCTTTTCAGAAGATTCCCCTGGAGGTTCAAATAACGACGTAGAAAATACGAAACCATCCATGAAGGTTTCGTTGATGGCAAGAGGCAAAGGGAATAAGGTGCTTTTCGATTCTCTTTTTTTCTCATTTTTCATTTTTGCCCGCATAAGTTCGGACCAAGGTGCAGGTGGAGCACAGGTCCGTTGCCTGCCAGTACTTATAAGATGACACGTCATCTAACACTCACGCTAGTGTTCATACTTTGCAACTGAGGGGATTCGGCGATTCAGGAGATACGGCGATTTGAGAGACTGCGCGAGAAAGAAAGTACACGCGTTGGTTAGCGATTGGGGAGAATCGGCGATTCGGCGTTTGAGAGACTGGGCAATCCTTATTTCGAAAGAATCGGCATTTTGGGCAATTGCACGCTAAAGGAGTGGATAAGTATGGGTCAGCGACGGTTTCTAGCGATCTGCAATGTTTTGGGAAACTTGGCGGTCCGGCGTCGATCGATGCCCATCCGCTCCTCTGGCGCGTAATCGCCCAAATGGCCGAACCTGCCGAATCTCTGAGCCGCAAAGTATGAACGCGACCCCAATAATTGTCAGAGAATCGTTAATTACGTCATAAACGATTTATATGACGTCAGTGACACGTCATCTATCGTTTGACAGGGGCAGCGTACCCGTGCTACCCGTGCACCTGGATCAAATTTGATTTTTGGAGTGCCTGAACTGCCTGGTTTCAGTTGGTTCTAAAAACGGTATCGATAGAGGAATCGGCCCTGCATGAGGCATGGAAAAAGGAACGAGAACGCGAAGAAGTGGAGCGAGCCGACATCAAACGAGTCACCTTAGGCCACACAGCGCGCATATTTGCCGAGGAAGAGCAGGAAATGCGGCAGCAAATCTACTCGCACAGCAGATTCAACTAGGTGAGCCGTATAGCCGTCATTCATCGATAGCCAAAAGGGATACCCTTATCGGAGTGTAACTCACCCTGAGGTTACGATAGTTGACCGGGTGTAGTGGAAATTCACTGAGGTAGTGAGCCTGAAATAAACTATTCACTAGACTGGAAGTCCTGTTTCGGAAAAATAAGACCCTTAAATGTACTTACAGTAGTTGGCGTTACCGTAATAGCAAATATAGGCCAGCTAAAGTCAACAAAAGGATGAAATTGTAGCCGCCATTGGCTACGTTGCACATATCGCGTGTACACACGCACACACGTTGCATTGCATGCCGTTCTTGAACGTACCCTGAAATTCAGGCAATCAAGAGGGGGATCGAAAGATTCGAGGAGTAAACTGTCATCTTGTTCTTTAGAAAGGTGGCTCGAAACCTAAGAGGGAGGCGCTAGGTCATATGGATGTAGAAGGGCAAAGGTTACTGTGAGCTTTTCACGTCTCAAGAGCTGTTATAGTTCGTAAAAGGGAAGCCCGGAAGGAAGGGTCATAGCGTGTCATCCCATGAAATGAAAGCTCAGGGAGGGACTTGAGAGTCTGGGCGAAGCAGATACTGAGCATAAGCTCCCTTGTAGTACTGAGCTATGGACTCGAAGATCAGGCATCATAATCGAACCCTAGCAATAGTCGTCCTGCTCGGACGAGTTATCCTGCTTAGACGTCCTCTGATGGGTGGGTCACCAACGTCAGTCGAAACCCTGATCCAGCCCTCACCCCAAATGGGGAATTTTTCGGACTAAATTGGAAACGCTCGGGGGAATGCCCGCTT